ATCACTGACTGGATGATCGTTCGGAATACACGAAATGATATACTAAAAAATAAAAATAAAGAGACATGGTTAGTGCTGAGCAATTGGACAAAAACAGCGTTGGAAATGTAAGACAAATTCTCCGATACATGACATACAATTAAAATGAACGGTTTGACAAAAATTAAGGTATTCAAATTTAGATTTTAAAAATGCAAGTGTGGTTTACATTTTAAGGAAGAATGTATGAATGGGAAACAATGACAGTTAAAAGTGAAACTTGTATCAAATTCCACAAAAATTTGTATGAAAGGAGGTGGGGCTTAGAGCAGAATGACAGAAAGCAAGAAAGAAAGACGAAGGTTTTTAAATACAAATCGGATGAAAGGAGAAAACCAAAATTACGAAACTTTATAAGTAAATTAATTCCTTACCTTTTCATTTACTGAATCCCAAAAAGCATTCATCCGAATCTTTAATGTTGGCAGCAATGTAAGACACTCGTTGAGTTTCTCGCGAGCATTCACAAGACCATCATATTTAGACCAAACGTGAAAGAATGTCAGCAAATCATTTTTGACTTCATGAGGACTATTCTCGAACACTTTCAGCAAGTTGATCAACTTAATTCCAAGCACAGGACTAGCAGAATCCTAAAAAATAAATAAAAATAATAATTTGTAAGTTTTATGTGATAGCAAAAATATCTCTAATCCACATTAAAGAAAGCACATGATTATACACAGAACAGATGGTGGGTTTAAAATGAAAGACATGTAGCCAATATTCCTCGAATCAGAATTCAAGTCAGTCGCAAATAATAATAAAAATCATATAGAACATTAAAAAGCGGTTACGGACTAGTCAAGATGAAGAATATTGCTCAGTCCAAGAATTTAATCATATATATATAAAGTCAAGAGTACATAACACTCAACTAATGGAACCAAAACGAATGTTGGTTCATATTAAAGTCCGAAAATGGGTTTTAATTTATTTTGATTGCTGCGAAGGCAACAATAACTAGACTTCCTTATTGATAGAAATACACGAAAAACTTGAAAAGCACAGAAAGGAATCATGATCGAAAAACGCAACATTGACAAACTATGGAAAGGCATGTGAATAAATTTATGACAAAGTAATGACTTCAGTGGAAACACAAAAGGTTCCAAAATTTAAACAGTTTGTGATGAAAATGACATTTTTTAACAATTGATCTGACAAACATTACAAATAATATGCAGCTTAATATACAGGAAGACAACATCAAGTAACCATTCAAAAGCATCAAACTGTAAAGGTGTATTGACAGAACCAATATAACACTCAACAGTTTTGAATCACTTTCGACACAAAACTGAACTTAACTTTTAAGAACGTCGCATACAAGGTTAGACAAAGCTTCAAAACAATTAAAATGCTTTCAAAGACGAGGATTATTATAAACAGGAAGACGCTAATTTAACTCAATTATGACCTAATTACTTTATAAAATAACTATTGAGCTTTACACTGAACAAGAAGGTTGCATTCAAAAATGTAATGAATTGGATATTCCCGTGAACCATTGGTGATTGAAGCTTAATGCATATTCACAATGTAAATGGTATAAAAGTAAATAAAGTTTGCAAAATATAAAGGAAATTTTAAAGAGATCGAACGGAAGTTAAGGTTTTAGTCTAAGACAATGAAGGTAAACGTTTTAAAGAATGAATCTTGTGACTTATTGGCTTCAAGTATGACATTTTAAAGAGAGCAGGAGTGTTGAAAAAGAAATGAAAATTTTAATAACTTACAATTAAATCACAGCTGCTGACAAGTGCGATACTCGTCTTGACATAGTCCAAGAGGTAAACCACGCATGAATTCGTCTTGAAATGTTCCATTCATGGTCTAAAAAGAGTAATAATGAAACATGAATTATTATTTTTGATATTTTAAGTGGGATTTTAAAGTTAATTTGAGTTTGAAGAAATTAAGGAAGCAAGATTAAGGCACAAAAGATCTGAGGAGAGAGGAAAAGAGTTTTGAACATCAAAAGGTACAACATTAAGATCATAGAGCATCTTATTAAAGAGTAATGGACCTAGATTGCTGCCTTGTATTACGCCATTCAGTATGAGACCTGTAATACCTTTGGCATGTGAAATTATGTCAAACTGGAAGCGATTCATCAGGTAATGAGAAATGAGCTTTTAAGCAATGCCTCTGATTCACAAGTTTTGAATTTTATTAAGGAATGACTTGTGGCTCATCTTGTTAAATACAAATTCTACTAAAACCTTACAAATTAACAAGGAATTGTACGGTTCCTATCTGCGCACAGGTGCCTGTATCAAACCCTTAGAAAGAAACTTATTTTAATGTTCATTACAAATTGGAAGTGAAACCATCTTTGAGATCAAATACTTCACAAATCTTGAAAGCAATAATTCAGCAGATGAAAACGCACTGAAGGACCTAAACACGCGAATTCAAAAAACGAGGTCAGCCACAAGTCTACGTTAAAGTCTTTTTGATATCCAGAAGTTAAGGCATAAAATAAAAAGCTTTTTGAAAGTCAGGTCAATAAGACATTAACAAGGAGATGAAGATGAAAAATTACCACTGAATTGGAAAAATAATTCACAAGAAAAAAAGAACAGAGTGCAAGTTTGTTGCAAAATAAAATAAATTCAGATCACTTACCTCAACACAAATGATCAGTTGATCACAGTTTTGAAGACTTGTCTTCATTATGATTCGATGCACATTCTTCCAAAGAAATTGTTGAATGAAAAAAATTTTTTTTCAAAGCTTACTGGGACACTTTTCTTCGCAGTTTTCAATATGAAAAGTCAAGATTAATTCTTTACTGAATTTCCACGCATTTACTGCTTTAAATCTTTTGTAACGGAAATTCATACATTGACATGAGATACGATACATCGATAATTGACTTTTTGGAACCAACAGCTAACATGAGCAATTTGTGTCGTAACTTGCCAAAATCGTTCTTGTCTTCCAATTGTATTATATTTCAGGTATGCAGGTAGATTTCTTTATTTTTCAGTTGCTTTTTTTCCATAGTATTGACTTTATTGGACCTCCTTCTTTCTGATTGCTGAATTTATGCTTATGCTAATCCATGTTATTTTTTAAAACCATCATTAATAAATGGAAACGGATGTCAAACCATTGGCACAATACTATAAAAGACATCCAATATAGAACTGGTTATGCTCAACTAGGTGGAACTTCCAAAAACAATTTTTTTATGCTTTTTTAACAGTTTTGGGAATGAGGCAAAAGCAAGCACTTCCAATAATTCATGAACTGATTTTTGGTGGCAACTTTGTCATTCATGCTTCAAATCATCAAGGAAACATGAAAAATAAGGAGTATCAAGCAGTTCCTCTGGATATTTTTCAAAAACCTGCAAAATTTCGATGAAATGTATGAAAAAGTCGGATCAATGCAATAATTTTGAACGGAACTCTCAAAGTAAGCTCTACATACTGTCCCGCCGATGATTTATGTGACCAACTGACTAGGCTTTCGATGAAAATGCCTCTTATGTTATGTAATTTCTTTAATAACGATATCACACAGTCTACAAATTAACTACTTGTTTATTTCAATCCATCCAACCACTTCACAATAAAGTTTTCATAAATAAGTCACTAAAAATCAATGTTTTTTCCTATCCTACATCATCCGATTGTCTTTATTGTACATAAGAATAAGAAGTCAGTAAAAATAAATAAAAAGAAAGAATTCATCAATTTTTCATTTCGTCTTCTTTTTATTCACTTCCTTATTCTTCCTCAATATGTGATGGCAATCGATACACAAAGCATCATCAGTCAGCATCTGGCAATTCAATTACTGGATGTATTATGTAGAAAAAGACTGAATCCAATGTGATGCCAAATTAAGGCGAAAAAAAAGTCTTGTTTCTTACCATAAAACATGTCGATTGATGTGTAATTCCATTTCATCGCATTGTGTTGTTCTATTTCTTCCCATCACTGAACAAGGCAGTCAATGAACGAGCATCATATTGAGAGAGATTTTTTGTGTGAGGAAGTCGTTTATGTGATTGCTTCATATCTTGTATGTCTACCATCCTCATCATCATCATCATAGTCGAGAATAATCAGAAAAGTGTGAGAAATTGGATGTTCTGTCGCACAATCCAATGTAAAAATCACACCATAAAAATTGTTTCGTCGAGGACCAATTTTCCGACATTTCTTTACAAATCGCTAACGGGCACCAGATGTTTTGGCATCTTACAATAAGAATAAAAGAGGAGAAATAATATTACAACATGAAAATGGGAAATTGTACACACACAAAAAATGGATGTATGGAAAAAAGCATTTTGGCAGTAACGTCAACGGATGTGGAGGATTAATGTTGCTGCTTTTTTCTTGTTTGCTCTTGATTTTTTCATCTGCCAAGGAAAAAAAAGTTTCACTTCTTATTTGAGATGCTTTGTACTTTCGTTTGCCATGAAAAGAAGTAAAATAAGGAAAATTGTTCGAAAGATTCAATTGACTTGCTTGAAATTTGACTGAAAAGCTAAGCAACGACTATAATTCTTGGTCTGAAGACAAATTTAACTCAGGTTAGGTATAAGCTTGAAGCAATGACTTAAATTGAGAAGAAACTTGAAGCGAAGACTTCATTTGAGTTCAGACTTGAAGCAACGACTTGGTTTGACTACAATATTCAAGCAACGACTTCATTTGAGTCCAAACTTAAGGCAAATACTTAATTCAACCACAAACTTCAAGCAACGACTTCATTTGAATTCAGACTTGAAGCAACGAATTGGTTTGACTACAATATTCAAGCAACGACTTCGTTTGAGTTCAGACTTGAAGTAACGGCTTCATTTGAGTTCAGACCTGAAGAAACAACTTTATTTGAGTTCAGACTTGAAGCAACGGCTTCATTAGAGTTCAGACTTAAAGTAACGACTTCATTTGAATTCAGACTTGAAGCAACGACTTCATTTGAGTTCAGACTTAATGTATCGACTTTGTTTGACTACAATACTCAAGCAACGACTTCATTTGAGTCCGAACTTGAGGCAACTACTTAATTCAACCACAAACTTGAAACAACGACTTCATTTGAGTTCAGACTTGAAGCAACGACTTCATTTGAGTTCATACTTGAAGCAACGACTTTATTTGAGTTCAGACTTAAAGTAACGACTACGTTTGAAAACAAAACTCAAGCAACGACTTCATTTGAGTCCAAACTTGAGGCAACTAATTAATTCAACCACAAACTTGAAGCAACGACTTCATTTGAGTTCAGACTTCAAGCAACGACTTCATTTGAGTTCAGACATAATGTAACGACTTTGTTTGACTACAATACTCAAGCAACGACTTCCTTTGAGTCCGAACTTGAGGCATCTACTTAATTCAACCACAAACTTGAAGTAACGACTTCATTTGAGTCCAAACTTGAAGAAACGACTTCATTTGAATTCAGACTTGAAGCAACGACTTCATTTGAGTTCAGACTTGAAGTAACGACTTCAATTGAAAAGAAACTTGACACAACGATTTCATTTGAGTTCAGACTTGGAGCAACGACTTCAATTGAAAAGAAACTTGACACAACGGCTTCATTTGAGTTCAGACTTGAAGCAACGACTTCATTAGATTTCAGACTTAAAGTAACGACTTCGTTTGAGTTCATACTTGAAGCAACGACTTCATTTGAGTTCAGACTTAATGTAACGACTTTGTTTGACAACAATACTCAAGCAACGACTTCATTTGAGTCCGAACTTGAGGCAACTTTTTAATTCAACCACAAACTTGAAGCAACGACTTCATTTGAGTCCAAACTTGAGGCAACTACTTAATTCAACCACAAACTTGAAGTAACGACTTCATTTGAGTCCAAACTTGAAGAAACGACTTCATTTGAATTCAGACTTGAAGCAACGACTTCATTTGAGTTCAGACTTGAAGTAACGACTTCAATTGAAAAGAAACTTGACACAACGATTTCATTTGAGTTCAGACTTGGAGCAACGACTTCAATTGAAAAGAAACTTGACACAACGGCTTCATTTGAGTTCAGACTTGAAGCAACGACTTCATTAGATTTCAGACTTAAAGTAACGACTTCGTTTGAGTTCATACTTGAAGCAACGACTTCATTTGAGTTCAGACTTAATGTAACGACTTTGTTTGACAACAATACTCAAGCAACGACTTCATTTGAGTCCAAACTTGAGGCAACTACTTAGTTCAACCACAAACTTGAAGCAACGACTTCATTTGAGTTCAGACTTGAATCAACGACTTCAACTGAAAAGAAACTTGACACAACGACTTCATTTGAGTTCAGAATTTAAGCAACGACTTCATTTGAGTTCAGACTTTAAACAACGACTTTAATTGAAAAGAAACTTGACACAACGACTTCATTTGAGTTCAGACTTGAAGCAACGACTTTATTTGAGTTCAGACTTGAAGTAACGACTTCATTTGAATTCATACTTGAAGTAACGACTTCATTTGAGTCCAAACCAGAAGCAACGACTTAGTTTGACTACAATGTTCAAGCAACGACTTCATTTGAATTCAGACTTGAAGTAACGACTTCATTTGATAGCAACGACTTAGTTCGACTACAATGTTCAAGCAACGACTTCATTCGAATTCAGACTTAAAGTAACGACTTCGTTTGACTACAATATTCAAGCAACGACTTCATTTGAGTCCGAACTTGAGGCAACTACTTAATTCAACCACAAACTTGAAGCAACGACTTCATTTGAGTTCAGACTATAAGCAACGACTTCATTTGAGTTCAGACTTTAAACAACGACTTCAATTGAAAAGAAACTTGACACAACGACTTCATTTGAGTTCAGACTTGAAGCAACGACTTTATTTGAGTTCAGACTTGAATCAACGACTTCAACTGAAAAGAAACTTGACACAACGACTTCATTTGAGTTCAGACTTGAAGCAACGACTTCAACTGAAAAGAAACTTGACACAACGACTTCATTTGTGTTCAGACTTGAAGCAACGACTTTATTTGAGTTCAGACTTGAAGTAACGACTTCATTTGAATTCAGACTTGAAGTAACGACTTCATTTGAGTCCAAACCAGAAGCAACGACTTAGTTTGACTACAATGTTCAAGCAACGACTTCATTTGAATTCAGACTTGAAGTAACGACTTCATTTGATAGCAACGACTTAGTTCGACTACAATGTTCAAGCAACGACTTCATTCGAATTCAGACTTAAAGTAACGACTTCGTTTGACTACAATATTCAAGCAACGACTTCATTTGAGTCCGAACTTGAGGCAACTACTTAATTCAACCACAAACTTGAAGCAACGACTTCATTTGAGTTCAGACTATAAGCAACGACTTCATTTGAGTTCAGACTTTAAACAACGACTTCAATTGAAAAGAAACTTGACACAACGACTTCATTTGAGTTCAGACTTGAAGCAACGACTTTATTTGAGTTCAGACTTGAATCAACGACTTCAACTGAAAAGAAACTTGACACAACGACTTCATTTGAGTTCAGACTTTAAGCAACGACTTCATTTGAGTTCAGACTTGAAGCAACGACTTCAACTGAAAAGAAACTTGACACAACGACTTCATTTGTGTTCAGACTTGAAGCAACGACTTTATTTGAGTTCAGACTTGAAGTAACGACTTCATTTGAATTCAGACTTGAAGTAACGACTTCATTTGAGTCCAAACCAGAAGCAACGACTTAGTTCGACTACAATATTCAAGCAACGACTTCATTTGAGTCCGAACTTGATGCAACTACTTAATTCAACCACAAACTTGAAGCAACGACTTCATTTGAGTTCATACTTGAAGCAACGACTTCATTAGAGTTCATACTTAAAGCAACGACTTTATTTGAGTTCAGACTTCAAGCAACGACTTTATATGAGTTCAGACTTAAAGTATCGACTTCATTTGAATTCAGACTTGAAGCAACGACTTCATTTGAGTTCAGACTTAATGTATCGACTTTGTTTGACTACAATACTCAAGCAACGACTTCATTTGAGTCCGAACTTGAGGCAACTACTGAATTCAACCACAAACTTGAAGCAACGACTTCATTTGAATTCATACTTGAAGCAACGACTTCATTAGAGTTCATACTTAAAGCAATGACTTCATTTGAGTTCAGACTTCAACCAACGACTTTATATGAGTTCAGACTTAAAGGAACGACTTCATTTGAATTCAGACTTGAAGCAACGACTTCATTTGAGTTCAGACTTAATGTATCGACTTTGTTTGACTACAATACTCAAGCAACGACTTCATTTGAGTCCGAACTTGAGGCAACTACTTAATTCAACCACAAATTTGAAGCAACGACTTCATTTGAGTTCATACTTGAAGCAACGACTTCATTAGAGTTCATACTTAAAGCAACGACTTCATTTGAGTTCGACTTTAAGCAACGACTTTATATGAGTTCAGACTTAAAGGAACGACTTCATTTGAATTCAGACTTGAAGCAACGACTTCATTTGAGTTCAGACTTAATGTATCGACTTTGTTTGACTACAATACTCAAGCAACGACTTCATTTGAGTCAGAACTTGAGGCAACTACTTAATTCAACCACAAATTTGAAGCAACGACTTCATTTGAGTTCAGACTTGAAGAAACGACTTCATTTGAGTTCAAACTTGAAGCAACGACTTCAACTGAAAAGAAACTTGACACAACGACTTCATTTGAGTTCAGACTATAAGCAACGACTTCATTTGAGTTCAGACTTTAAACAACGACTTCAATTGAAAAGAAACTTGACACAACGACTTCATTTGAGTTCAGACTTGAAGCAACGACTTTATTTGAGTTCAGACTTGAAGTAACGACTTCATTTGAATTCAGACTTGAAGTAACGACTTCATTTGAGTCCAAACCAGAAGCAACGACTTAGTTCGACTACAATATTCAAGCAACGACTTCATTTGAGTTTAAACTTATACTTACTTACTAAGCAACGTTATTTTGAGTCTCACAAAATTTGCCATCTACATTCACACAAGTCCCCAACCGCCATCAAGTAAAAAAAACGTGAGAGAAAAGGAAATTCCATCAAATCAATATGTGTATTGAAATATATCGAAATTAGAAAGGACGAAAAGCATGAAGAAGAAATGAAAATACAAAAGTAAAAACTTTCTACATGAAGTAATTTACTGAACGAGGCATGAAAATAGGAAATCAAATAGAACTGGGAAAAAAATGTCGATGCAGAAAACAACAATGAAGACACAAGACAAATCAAATCGTTCAATTTCCTGCACGCACATTTAATTCAATGGCAAAAGAAATGAACGGAAATTTTTTTTTGGGCGCCTTAAAAATTATGTGGGTGGAGAGTTTGGCTGAATAATGGCAGTTCTTTTGGGAGCACAAAAGAAATTGGATAAAAAGTAGACAAAGTTTAGTTTAGAATTTATTGAAGGGTGTTGCCTGTGATTTTTAGTCTGAATTATGTTGACGTGCTTTAAGGAATGATTTGATTTTTTGAAGCGTCGCTTTACTTAATTTTCAAGATGGAAAGCGACGACTTAAGATTTAAATTAATGAATCAGTTGAATTTACATGCATAATGCGACTAATCATAAAGCAACGACTATTGAATTCATTCCAGAAGATTCGCTGTATTTCCTCGACTTAACTCACAAGCATGCCTGCCAAACTTCCTTCCCTATTCACAACTGCTTCAACAACAAAATGTGTCTCTAATGTATGTTTGCATTTCTTATAAAGAATGATTTACAAAGGCATTAAGAAGTTCTTGTGAGAATCTATAGAAAGTTTCTGTATAGGGGAATGTTAAAAAAGAAGAAACTGTTGTGGCAAGCATGAAATATTGTGTGTATACGCGTTCTTTATTGAATGCTTTGCATCTATATGTGTTGGTGACATTAGTAATGTACCGGAAACTTTTGAACATTAGCGTTTGCTGAAATGTTTTATGGATATTTTTCTTACCTTTATTTTCCATCAATTTAAATCCTTTATGCTTAACGTCCATAAAGATTCATAGCTGGAATCGACTTAAAAATGCACATTGAATGTTTAATGGGAATCTCACCATGAATTTTGTTCTTCTTTTGCTGTTTTTTTGGCACCCTGAGATTTAAGGAATGGAAATTCACACTCATGTGAAAGGGGAGAAGTTTAGGATGTGATGATAAATTGCTTTTTTTATTTCTAGTTCTGAAATTTTGGCGAGGGTTATAATATGACGATAGAGTGAGAGGTGCAGGAGGTTTCATTTGTCTTTTGGTGGTTAAAATCAGATTTTTGTCTGATTTGGATCAAATAGTTAAGGAAACAAGTTTCTAAGGCTACCCTAGGTCCAGTCACAGTTACACTCTATTCATACATAAGATAAGGTTGCTGTCCATCGATTCTAAGACTGGATATCCCAATAAAAGAGAGATTATTAGAGAAAAGGGGTGACAAAGAGGTGTTGCTGAAATAAAAATCTGTTGATATTCCTAAACTGAATATCCTAAATCCCAGTTTTTCATTTTTCCAAAAAATGCGCTCTAGCCACAAAACTCAAACTACCCCAAAACTTGACCTATTTTTATCGCGCGCACTTCGCTAGCCTTTCAATATGTTACGAGTAACAATAATTCATGTATAAATGTATGAAAATGTAATTTCCGTCTCGACCAATGTAATAAATCATTCAAAAATTGAGCAAAAAACGTGCAAAATTCACAAATTATCGATATGTTCACTTCCAACAGTCGTGGATAAATTTATTCTATTTTTCACACAATTTATTTAACGTCAAATTTCAAGATTTAAATTTTCAACATTTATTGACGTGTTATGTGTTGCAGATGTCGAAGGGGCAGCGTCGTCATAAAAATAGTCAATTTGCTTCTTCGGTGCTGTTTTCCATTTCTTAGCTTTTGCTGAATCGCTGTACATTTGTTGTCGCCATGCTTCAGCCTTTTGAGCCATTTTTTTGATTCTTTCATTGCTGACTTTTGGAGTTTTTAGTGCTTTCCGAGCTAGTCTGTCAACTTCAGCTTCTTCTAAAGCTTCCATCAGTATATCAAGGCTGTCTTTATATTGATTTAAATTTCCAATTGGAATTTTTGATGGCAAACGTTCTTTTAAGCTGCTTTCCAGTGACTCTTTAATCAAATCCTTCAATTTTTCACTGTTGATTTGTGCGATGACTTTCTCTTGACCTCCTTGTTGCCTTGTGTATCCGGATCTTCCTAATCCACCATCAATCACAGTCGTTTTATTGATGTTTGAGCTTTGTGCTTCTTGATGAAAATCGTTCATAATTTCAAGGACACGCAATGTTGTCTCTAAGCATTGAATTTGATCCATACTATCCATTCTATCAGCAAAGACTTCATAGCCTAATTCGATGAGGAATGATGTCAATTTAATGTATGTATTGCAGATGTCTTTTAATTCGTCTTGGATTTGTGATTCTGCCATTTTTTGCTGTGGATTTATTGATGTTAATTTGATGAGGAACTTGATTGAAGCTTGACTGTGTCGAGTAACTGAAGATTTTGAATTTTTTTGGCACAGAAAATTTTTAAATGATAAACTTCAGAAGTTAAAATTTGAAGGTTGAAAATACAAAGATAGCTGCGATACTTTTTTACGATTTTTATTTCAATGATTTTAAGTTATGAAAGCACTTCCTGCTTTGTACTTAATCCTCTTCTTTAGGTCGCATCTTCAGCTTTCTCGTATAAGTCTTGAATACAACTTTTCTCACTGGAATCTCAACATCTTTACCCAATCTTGCACGACCTACAACAGCTGGTCGATAACGCATTGGATGATGACAAATTGGTGCTGCACGAGGAAAGCATTTGCCACCTCGACATGGATAGAATTTGCTGCACTTTTTGAATTTTTTGTTGGATTGGAAGTTTTGCAAAACTGTGACATTGTTGAATTGATTCTGTTGGTAGAATAGTTCATGACCGTCTTGTTTTGGAGTCTCGAGGTATTGCTTCATCCAGGCATTTTGCATTTTAAAGTGAATTTTCTTCATGAATTTCTCTTTGTCGAGGCAAATGTTTGAGCACATGATGAGGTGCTGATGGATGTTAAGGAGAAGTTAATCTTGTTGATACGATGAATTTTGAAGGTTCCTGGATATTATTTTCGATTAATTTAGATGTCACTTAAGTTGATACTGATAATTTTGATGTTTGTGAATTTTTTGATTGGACAATTGAAAAAAAATTTCAAAGCTTTCTTAGGGTGGGGTTAGAAAACGTTTTGCAAGTACCTAAAACCTATGAATGCATTATCAAAACTCTCAAAAATTTGATGCTGGGTTATAAGTCCAGAGATTATAAGTACAGAAAATCAAAGTGACTAAAGGTTTATAAGTCCACATACAAATTGCAACTTAACTTAAAAACCTCACGTGCAGTTTTTAAGTCGAGGTACAAATACAGCTGGAATTATAAACTGCACGAGAGGTTTTTAAGTCCAGGTACATTTTATATCTGGACTTATAAACCTTACGTGTGGTTTATAATTCCAGAAAATTTATAAATTTTGCTTATAATCTCCAAGTGCGATTATAAGTCCAGATACATTTTTCTGGGCTTATAGTCCTTGTAAATTATTTGAAACTTATTTAACTTATTATAAATTTTTTTCTTTAAGGCTACACATGAATTTTTGAAAACTTCACACAAAGAATTCACATTTGATAATTTTTTTCAAAGAAACTTTGTGTGAGTATACTAATATTTATACAAAACAGTTTTAAATATCTAAAGCTAGAAATGTATTCTATATGTCGTCAGACCCAAATTTTATAAATTTGGTTCTACATTCAAAAACAACGTGACTTGAAATTTTGTCGAAAAAAATAATTTTTATTAATTCAGTAATGTGTGACCATGTTTTATTTGTATTTGTTTTAAGTACTAGAATATTTATGCAAAGTTTCAATTCATTTGGATAAACCCTCGAAGAAAAAAGTGACAAAATTTATTTTGACTAGGGTCGCCTCTAGTCCAAAATTGAAATTGTATTTCCTACTTGGTTCTTTGCTCAAAAAATTTTTAGGATGTTTTATTTGTATTTGTTTTAAGCATTAAAATATTTATGCAAAGTTTCAATTCATTTGGACAAACCCTCGAAGAAAAAAGTGACAAAATTTATTTTGACTAGGGTCGCCCCTAGTCCAAAATTGAAAATTGATTTTCTATGGTGTACTTTGGTCAAAAAAATTTTTTGGATGTTTTATTTGAATTGACATATTTCTGACATAAATCACATACCAATATTACTTTTTGTAATGCATTGCTTAGAAAAAATCGAAATCTGAAATTTCGACTACCCCATCTGAATTTTGTTCATACTCTTCACTCTGGAAACCAAAAAACAAATTCTTTATCTTAAAACACTTGACAAAATAGCGACATAATTCAGGATTAATTACTTTTTAATAATATTTTAACATTTACGAGAAAATGTGGTTCAAATAAGTGTGAAGTATGGCCGAGATTTGGACCAAAATCAGCTATACTGGTTCATAGTGTTCCCGAGGGTGACAAAATTCACGCCCACCCTTCAAACTTATGCTGAGCAAATCTTGGTCTATCCATAAGACTTTTGATGGTACGGTGTGAATATATCCGCATTGGGTTTCTACCCGATACACTGGTTTGAACTTAAGAGGACTTAAATTAATTTTGAACTTAAATCAATGACTTTTGTCAATTTTGAACTTTATGCGACGATTTTTTAAAACTCAATGCGTATAATAATATATGAAACTCAGTATACTCAATGTTTGAAAGTTTAAGCTTACCGAAAAATTTATTTCATCCAAAGTTTAATTTTATAAAAATCAAAATAACCTCTGGTTTTTAAAAAACGAAAAAAAGAAGATTTTTTGCTTTTTCTGAACCAACGGCTGTTCCTACCTTGCCCAAAAACAATCCAGCTCTTCTATAGAGCAGCACGGTTCAAATGCAAAAAACTAGAAGTCTCTACAATGTCTCGTTATTGAGATTTCTTGCTGATTAACTTGCTTGTTGTAAGGCACTTAAGTTCAATAACAGAGAGTTAATAAAGAAAAAAATTTATAATAAGTTAAATAAGTTTCAAATAATTTTCAAGGATTATAAGCCCAGAAAAATGTATCTGGACTTATAATCGCACTTGGAGATTATAAGTAAAATTTATAAATTTTCTGGAATTATAAACCGCACGTAAGGTTTATAAGTCCAGATATAAAATGTACCTGGACTTAAAAACCTCTCGTGCAGTTTATAATTCCAGCTGTATTTTTACCTCGACTTAAAAACTGCACGTGAGGTTTTTAAGTTCAGTTGCAATTTGTATCTGGACTTATAAACCTTTAGTCACTTTGATTTTCTGGACTTATAATTTTCTGTGCATGATTTTTGTATCTGGACTTATAATCTCTGGACTTATAACCCAGCATCAAAAATTTTAATTCATTTCTAAACCTCCTTTACTAAGCTACAACCCAAACATAACCTCCAAAAAAATTTTAATCTACATTGCCAATAAATTTCGAACTTTAATTTGATTCACTAGCTTATCATTGCACAAGACTTTCTCATCAAATTCCAAATGGACATTAATTCTCATGGATCCATCATTTGCTTCCTCAAAATAGGCATATGGCTTGATTTTTGGATATTTTTGATTCTCATCGACTTGAATCGGAATGACAATATTTCGTTCGATTCTTCCAATTTTAGGTGGCTGCTGTTGCTTGATGAATGTCTCGTTATTAACAATCACTTCTGATGGATATTCGAAAAAGGAATCCTTAATGTCACCATCCTCATCTCTAATGACTGGATCGAACATGTTGTTGAGGTTCTGCTTAGGCATCGTCTGCTCAACCTTATTAGCTTTTTCTCGTTGCTTCATTCTGATCTTTTTCTTGCTTTGAAGTTCCAACAGTTGTTTGGAAATTTCGTTATCAAATTTCTTTAGGCAGTCACTTGAGGATCTAGAAGTTGAATGCATTTTGTCCAAATTGTAAGTTTTGTTCCTAATTTCATCAATTTTAATGCTCAAATTGTTCATGTGGTCATAAATATCCTTAAATGCATTGTTGTCGTCTGTTGATGGACTATGTCTTGCTGGAAATGTTCTAGCTCTGACTGGATTTGGATGTTGTTGGATTAGATTTGGATGTTGATTAACTGAATATGGCTTGACTGGATTTGGTTGATGACTGAATGTGTTTGGCTGTTGTTTGACCAAATTTGGATGATGCCTGAATGTGTTTGGCTGTTGCTTGATTGGAATTGGATTTGGATGATGTCTGACTGTATTTGGCTGTTGTTTGACTGGATTTTGATTGATCAGATTTGGATGAGGCTTGACGTATGTCTGATTAAGCAAGATTTCATTAACAGGACCTCTTTTAGGTGTACTGTGACTAACTGTGTCACGTCCATTGCTTTGCTCAAAGTATGCAGCACTTGGAAATTGAGCCTTCGAGTTCCTTATAAACTCTCCATGTTCATTCAAAACTCTCTGAACCTGATCAACCTTATCCAAATATTTTGGATTATTTTTCACATAATTCAGTCCAGCACGAATAAGAATAAATATGTAATGGATATACTCATGCATCAGCATTCGATCGTAGCAGTTTCCAATCATTGGATTCGCCCTTTGGTTATTTTTAATCATCTTAATTTTTTGATGATGACAATCAAGTTTCTTTAGGTACGATTCATGTGCTGCTGAATAAGCAAATCCCAGCTCAATTAAACTTCTTGTTTGCTCAAAAAAGTCGTCTAGAATTCGCGTCTGTTGGCTCGAGATGAAATCCATTTTAATTGTTTGTTGATTTGCAATAAAGTTTAATGAAAACAAGAATTAAAAGATTTTTATGGAAATTGCTATGATTTTTGATGAATACGAAAAGTTTTAATACTTTACACAGCATGTGAATCTATCAGTATAAGAGGAAGGATTCAATAGTCAAGGAGTTTGAACAAAAACTCACTAATATAACAAGAAGTTCCATTGAGTGCCTTAGAAATGCAAAAAAAATATGTTTGAAAGCTTTTAAGTCACAACTGCAGCACTATTAGATTATCTGTGCTGTTTATGCCTGAAAATAAAAATTCTAAATCCATCTTAAAACACAAAAGACTTCAAATTTTCACATCATATTAAATTTTATTAATTTAATCCCCAACATCCCTCAAACAGCTCTCATAAGATCATACTTCCCAGGTACAATCTGTGACAAGTTCCTCTTCGATACAGTAATCAATGAATTACTCAAATTATCAACATCAGTAAAGCTTTCAACAATGTCAATAATCCTCTCATAGTCATCAATTGACAAATTATGATCACATTGGATTCTCCTCATCTGTGACTGATCATGCTTGCTTGGCAAAATAACTTGAAATGATAGTTCTGGATTCTTTTGTTTAGCAGCTCCTGACTTGAATGGTGTTGATGTTGGAACAGTGCCTTGTTGGAGACGAGAAATACCTAAAAATGCATTCGGAGTTCCACTTGCATCTTGTCTGGTGCTTGAATGCTCAGGTTGTGCACTTTGTGGAGTTTGTAGATCGTAATGTGATTTGCTTGTGACTTTTTGTGGTGTCTGTAACTGCTTTTGAGGAGTTTGTTGTCGATTCTGTGCACTTTGAGGTCTTTTCGGTGACTGATGAACTTTTGAGGAACTTGCTGTGTCAAAATATTCTGAAGCTTCATTTCCAGCTGGATGATCTTCACTTAACATTCTTGAAACTGCTGTCTTTTGTCTAACAATTGATGTTCTTGGTCTTGGTCTTGGTGGAACTGTGTATGATGGTTGAAGTTTTGGCTTGACATTTTTACATTTTCTAGCATCTCGAATTGCTGCCAAAAGAAGGTTCTTTATGCTGTCATGTCTTGTAAATTGCCAGTTCCTGCATAACAATTCCAAACATCTTCTTAACGTTTTTTCATTTATTTCAACATGTTTCGTTGAAATGTTGTCAACTCGAGCATTAGAATTTTCACGGGACATCTTCAAGGTGCTTATAAACGGAAGAATTTAGAAATAAAAAAAATATTTTTCAAATCGTTCAAATAGAATGAAAAATTGAGGAAGAAAAAGTACAAAGATCACTAAAGTTTTCCAATTTTTATTGCAGTTAAAAAAGTTGTGGTTATAGTTTTGGTGAATTGCTAGTGTCAAGCGATGAGAACTTAAGCGAAAATGATTTAGGAACTGCGAATCAAAATGACAATGTATCTTCTAGCTCTCAACATATCAAGGTAAGTTCAAGGTAATAAAGATCGAGAGTAGGTTTGCAATAGAAGTAATTCGAGGAAACCTGAAGCCAAAGAGTGACTAAACCTATATCCCACAAGATAAAGTCAACAACATTCCTCAAATCCTCCTTAAAAATAACCGAGTAACTCAATATCATGCTTGACTAGATTCTCGTCTAGTTTTCCAAACTTCCAAAGCACATTCATCGTCTCCACTTTTGTCAAATTGTCATTTGCTCGCATGTGACATGAAACTGATAAAAAATATTTTATTTCCATTTCTTATTTTACTTCTTCTTGTACTTCTTTTGAACAGTCACAAAAAAAAAATTAAAATAAGTAAAAAGTTCTTCTTTTTCCCATTGAAAAAACAAAAGGAGCAACGATTCCTTCGAGCATAGAAAGACACCAAGAAGTAAAATACGTAAAAAGGAACCCAGAATGAGGAATGAAGATGGTAAACTGAATCTCATTAACATTTAAATGATTTCATTTATGGTTTATATAGGAAAATGAATTAGATTTCTATGTGGAAACTCATGGGAGTGCTTAAAGACGGTGACGTCATGCATGAGGAACTTGAGTAAATTTTCTACGAGAGATGGGAATGAAAAGTTTCTTTTAAATTGCTAATGAAGCTGAAAATAGCGAAAGTTTTCATCGGCACTGAAAGATAAGTTCGAGCTCATCATTTCAGATGCTGGAAGTTCTGTTCGTTTTGCTGGATGCAGATGACAAAGTTTTGGAAAGTCTATGTTTCATTAGAGTAAATTTATGCTGTGGTTTATGAGGTCAGAATGTCGCTTTTTAGGAAGCAGTGATATTGAAGCAAATGTGGCTAAGCAGTTCAAAATTCAAAATTAAAGCGATGCTTCATTTTTAAGTTCAAATGTAAAGCGATGATTTAATTTGAAATTTAAAATGTAAAGCGTCGATTAAATTCGAAATTGGGATTCAAAGCGACGATTTAGTTCAAAATTTTGATTTAAATGCGACGATTTAAAATAAACTTTGAACGTAAAGCGACGATTTTGTTCAAAATTCAAATGTAAAGCGAAGATTTAAATTAAATTTTAAATGTAAAGCGACGATTTAGATTCAAATTTAAAATAATAATTTAATTTAACTAAAAGTTTAAATTAAAGCCACAAATGTACTTAAATTGATCTACTAAGCACCACTCTCATCCCCCAAAAAATTCTAAAACTCATTTAATTCCCATTTTTCATCCATTGACGACAGTAAATTAAAATTTTTCGTATTTTTTTGTTCTTCTGGTGTCTTCAAAACTTTTTCTAGCAATTTAATTTGCATTTATTTCAACAATTTGTAATGAGTCGAGATTATTTCATTTAGAACAAAAAGGAAGCAAGTCTGTAGAGACAAAAAAACAATAAAATTCAGGAACAAAATTAAGTATCGTGTAACGAATGAAATGAATATGTGTATTTTATTAATTCAATAGGATGTTCAAGTCACGTTCGGTCCTTAAACAAGCAGAAAAAAAGTGAAATAAAAGTCTGAAATCGATTAAGAGACATAAAATATTTTTATTTGTCCCAAATGTGTCATTACAAATAACGAAAAATGTAGGAAGAAATGTAACAGATTTGACCTAGATGTAAAGTGGAAGTGACGTTCTCTACGAGTACAGGAAATATTTGTTTGATAAATCTTCTTCATCTTCTTCCTTATTAGATTCTATTTGCTACGGAATCGAAAGTTATTTTTTTGTTGCTACTTTTGTTGTTCAAGTTGGGGGGACAAGGAAGTCACTTTCCTTATTCGGACAAGATTTATGTGAAAGAAATTGAAAGACAAAAAGGAGGAAATTTAATTTTGTTCTTTATACTAAGCTCATCCTCTCCTATCAGCATTCAACAATAGTCAAAACAAAGCAAAAAGAAAGTATAGGAGTTGACTTGGTTTAGGAATGTGAGGCGCAAAATAATAACTTTAGGAAATGTGTCTCTGTAAAGTCTTTTTGGTTTGAACTGGATGATACTTATCTAAAGGCTGTCTTTTATATCTAATAGGATCCCTTTTCTCTAATCATGGTCAATTCTTACTTATATATTCTTACTTATAGAGCCCAAAAAACCACCCGAAAGGTGCCGCTTAGTCAAGCCGTTTTTTCAATTGGTAAAGCAAACCGCACAAAGCCAAAGGTGCCAATTTCATGAAGTCTCGAAAATTATATTAAAACTAGTCCTTAGATCGATGAAGAAAGTTTAGAGCATTCAAAATGAGTTCAAAAATATCATTAAGACCCTCAGCTATTCAAATCATCTAAAACTCAAGCTATATCCCTCGAAATCTCAGCCTGTCTAGCGTCAAATATTAAAATGCTGTTAAGGGAAATCCAATTGAAGACAAAATCTTTATAAAATAGCAAAAATCAGAAGTGACTGATTCTTATGGACGAAGATATGAAGAGTTTGTTATTTAAAGAGTAAGAAGACGACGAGAAAAGAAGCAACAAAACGGCAATAATAAAAATAAAAATGAATCGAGAGTCGTAGAAAACAGAAAAGCTGTTTATGGGTAATGAATTTTTTATAACATTCTCTCAGGCGATTCTTTATTTCCATTCATTCATTCCTTCCTATCTCTTTTGCAATTTTCATAGCTCTCTGCTCTGTTCATCGTCATATGATTGCGATATTTACAGTGAAAGTTATTGGTCGTAGAGAATTGAGTTTGAGACATGAAGAAGTATCCACATGGGCGACATAAATCTTTTCTAATTGGTCACATTAAGCATTAAGTGGCATTTTATTTGACTTTGGGATGAAATTTTTTTTTTATTTGGCACCAAATATCTTTGACATTTATATGCATGTATGTTTATGTGGATGTTGTGGCAGTTACTTTAATTCTTTATAATTTAATCACACAAAAATCAATCACAGAGTTAGTTGATCAGGGAGCTGAAGGTGGAGGAGATTAGGTTAGGTTTGTCAGATTCATTTTTGATTATTAAGTGATTTTTAATATTTTTCAATTTAATTTTTCTTGAAAAAATTTTCCAATTTTATTTAAATTTTTTTTCAAAGTTTTTCAATTTTTTTTTATTTTTCAATTTTTTTTAAAAATTTAAATTTTTTTTTAAAATTTAAAATTTTTTCTACTTTAATATTTTTTTTCATAATTCTAGAAGCAAGCTTAATCCTAACAAAATCCCCACAGCATAATTCCAACATTGATTTTTATGTAATTTCATTATCTTTCTGTATTCCTCTTTTATATTTTTTATATTGCTCGTTTAAGTGCAAACTTTATGTAATTAATTATCAGTGGCAATCGTTAAACATAAAAAAAAACTTATAAAAAAGTGGAATGAGATAGAAAAAGAAGGCATTAAAAGGCAGCCTAACAAGCAGCAAAAAGCAAAAGAATTGCAATTAAAATTCCGTTTATTGTAAAATCGATCGAACAACTAATGAGAATTTATATGTGCTGGATTTTTTTTGTGTGTTAGGATTGAGCGATAAAAGTGATTGCAAAATATTTAACGATGGATTTTTTTTGCAATCGTTTTGTTTTTTGGATTTTTTTTTGTCGATTTGGAATGAGTTGTGGGTGTCTAGACAGGCAAGGCAGTAGGTAAGCCAGCATCATAATTTAAGATTGTTTAAGAAAAAAATGAAAATTTCAAATTTTTGATTTAATGTTAAAATTTTTATTAAAGATTTTAATTTTTTTTTCAAATTTTTGATTTAATTTTAAAAAAGGTTATGATTTTTAAGAATTTTAAAAAATTAAAAAGCCAATCTTAAAAATAATTAAGATTCAACTTTGTTTAAATTGTCTTAAGAAGACCTAAACCTCAAAAAGTTTGAATCATTGCGCCAAAAAATTCAAATTTAATTTTTTACTTATTTAAAATAAAACACAAAATATTTCTTGTAAGAAGCAAAATTTTCAGCTTTGGCGTCATAAAAAAATTCTCCTGCAATACACTTAATGTGTAGGAAATTCATATATTTCTTCATATATGTAGGTAAGCAACAAAAATAATAAGAATAAAAAAGTTAAGAACAAAAAAGAAATGTAAGAGATAAGAATTTGAAAAAACCACAAGAAGTCTAACAGTGTTCGTTGCTTCTCTTTATGATTTATGGATTGCAATATGAATCAAGTTATGAGAGAGCGCATCTTTCACAGGTAAATGACTAGATTCATTATACTGCAGTTATCTAAAGTGCGTATTCACTTAGTAGAGTTTGTTTTTCAATTTACAATTGTTATTTTGGTGAAACTAGAAGCTTTTGACAGAGACAGTATTACACTTAGTATTGGTAATTGGCAAGCTATAGCCAGCGATAGAGTCAGCTTCTTGCGCCATCTAATGAAGGCTATGGATCACAATTGATTTGTACGACCAGATAAGTAAGTAAGGAAGTATTAAAGCGGCACTATTTTCAGTGCGTCTGAGTTTTGAAGCAGAAGCCGGGACGTAAAAAAGCTCGGAATTGAAAATCAGAATAAATTATGCATAAAACTGATTGCGAATGGAGAAGAGTAACTTATATAGCTTTTAAAAACCTGCAAATACTTTTTAAAAATCATCTGACCTTTAAAATTCGAACCATTCTCCTTGAATTACCATCCACTTCACTAAATCCATTCACATTGTTAATAATATCCTACAAAATTTGATTAAAATGTTAAGAACAACAAGAGCAGTTTATCATAAAATTCGAGAATTATTTAAATTCCTCCTTATTTATTTCAAAAGCACACGAGTTAGAATTTCAATAATTTATTCAACAATTTTTTTATTCCATTCCGTCATACACGAGGTTTA